ATACTATTACAAGCAGCTAAAGCGATGCTTGTTCTGTAAGATAGTCGTCATTTAATGGGCTAATGACACTTATCAGTGGCTAATTACTGCCGAGCACTACAAGGGTCAAGGGAACCTGTCTTGATGTAATTATTATCAGCCCTGTGTTCGTGCTACAAGACTGTGGGAAGACTGTGTTCACGATGTATAGAGGATGTCACGTGACACTTCGTAACCATCACTGTAGAACTCATCTTGTACAGTACAACCGGAAATTATTGAGTATTTAAAGATTAATTAGTAATTGTTTATATTTTTTCACTCATTACTCACGTATTAAATGTGAAGGTTACCATGGGCAGCAATGCAAGCTTCAATGCGGCGGGGCATACTACTGATCAAAGTAAGAAAATCGTGGTCCATGCTGTCCCCATATCGGACCACCTCTTCTTTCATTTCAGCAATATTTGTCAGATTTTTCTTATCGACACTTTCCTTCATAAGTCCCCAACATTTTCTATTGGATTTAGGTCAGGACTATAGCTTGGCAAATGTCATATTTTTGGTCCGAAACCAGGCCTGTGAATGCTTTGAACGATGTTTTTTGGGTCGTTGTCCTGCTGGAAAATCCACTAATTTCCACAGAACACGGATGCAGATGGAAGTAAATGTCCCTCGAGAATATCCGTGTACCGCTCACTGTTCATATTCCCTTCAAACACACAGAGGGGCGTTGCCCCTAACACAGATATGCCACCACACACGTTAAATTTCGGACTGTACTTTGGGCGCTGATACAAAGGTTTTTCAGTTTGTTTGGTCCAGAATTTCAGTGTATTAGGTTCAGGTTTCATGATCGGTGATGGAATTCCGCGACTTTTCTGCCAACCAATTGCATGCAGCTCAGTTCTAATTGTCTCCTTACAGACAGCCACAGTTCCTCTATCAATCATATCCAGCCTTACGTTTTCTAAACTCCTTCGTTTGTTTTTAGAAACAAGAATACCAAGCCGCCTCCTGTCACCGACTGTCAATTTTCTGGGCCTACCTGCGCCTCTCTGGTGCTCAATGCCATATCCATTTGCAATATGTTTCAAAACACGATAAACAGTGGACAAAGGGATGCCTGCTCTACTTGAAATCACTTTAGCTGATCTGATGTCCTTGTTATAATAATCTAAAATCAACTTCCTCTTCTCTAAATCATCCACACTGAGGATCACTGAAAATCTCGTCTGCTAGCAAGTAAACAAAGTTGGATAACTTTTCACAAACTAATGAAAAAGGATTAACGGAACTGTCTCTCTTGAATGAAACCAAGCACTTGATAGCTGGTCAAGGTAGTTTATACTAGAAATCAAAATAAACATATTCCTAAAAATCTCAATAACTTCTGGTCATACTATATCTGTTGTTATTAAACGATTTGTAACCGTGGGAACGACGCTGATGAGATCGCCATGCTAAAAGCAACTTTCCTTAAAATTTGTGTGTCGACATTATACACATGCGCCTCGCTGTTTTGTAAATGACACCAATTCTCTGTTTCTGGAATGTTATTGAAAGTCAACCAACGCCACAAAACTGATATCATTGACATACACACTAGAGTTCAGCAGGCATCTATGATAATGGCTGACAAATGTCCCTCTTCACAAGATTACACTGAGATTACTTACTCTGGAAACATTCGAGATATCCACGATGTTTTAGAGCGAACACATATTTTAATATCTTTTAAATCAGATGGAAACACAGCAGTACAGTTATAATGAAAAGGTGAACTTTGTCCAGTTCAGTAATCGGATAAAACTTTAATGTCCTAATTTAACACGCATGCTCATCGGGATCGTAAATGGTAACAGGGTAGATAGAATGTAACCTTTGTAACGATATGCTGTGTATCATGTGTATGTAGTGTTGATGGCCCGCAGTGGCGAAACTCACAAACACGGACATCCCAGAAACGTAATGAGGGCACTGTAGGGGTGAAAGTATCACTTGTTTCTGGGACGAAACCCGCACAGTGAAATGCACCCCAGGAAGAGTAGAAACATCCACAATCAACTGCATAACTGTTCACCTACGGTTTGGTTTGTTTGAAAATTAACACCCCACCAGTAATATTCCAGCTATTTGGCAGCTGTCCGTTAGTTATCTGGACCAGACAATGCAGTGATCAACAGGATGAGCATCGATCTACCCAACTGGGATACAATGATATATGTCAACCAAGTCAGCGAGCCTGACCACCCGATCCCGTTAGTCGCCTCTTACGACAAACATGGGTTACTGAAGATCAGTTCTAACCCAGATCTTCAGGGACACTCTTTGGGTTACCCCTGATTGAACACCATGTCGCAGGGACAAGTTTCAGAGCACCTTTAAACATTGTCAGATATCACTATTCCACATATCACTACTGGAGAAGGAAATCTTGTTCATCTGTAAACATGTCCGTGAGGCTGCATGCTGAGGAGGTAATCTGCTCGACAGTGATGGAGCCGGTTATCCTGGGTATTATGTCTGTGGAGGTTATCTGCCTGACAGTGATGTAGCCGGTTATATAGGGTATTATGTCTGTGGAGGTAAACTATCCGACAGTGATGGAGCCGGTTATCCTGGGTATTATATCTGTGGAGGTAATCTGCCGACAGTGATGGAGCCGGTTAACCTGGGTATTATGTCTGTGGGGTAATCTATGTCTGTGGAGGTAATATTATGCCCGACAGTGATAAAGGAGCCGGTTACATAGGGTATTATGTCTGTGGAGGTAAAGTATCCGACAGTGATGGAGCCGGTTATCATGGGTATTATGTCTGTGGAGGTAAATTATCCGACAGTGATGGAGCCGGTTATCATGGGTATTATGTCTGTGGAGGTAATCTGCCCGACAGTGATGGGAGCCGGTTATCCAGGGTATTATGTCTGTGGAGGTAATCTGCCCGACAGTGATGGAGCCGGTTATCCAGGGTATTATATCTGTGGAGTAATCTGCCCGACAGTGATGTGGCCGGTTATATAGGGTGTTATATATCTGTGGAAATAATCTGCCCGATAGTGACGGAGCCGGTTATCCAGGGTATAATGTCTGTGGAAGTAATCTGCCCGATAGTGACGGAGACGGTTATCCAGAGTATTATATCTGTAGAGGTAAACTATCCGATAGTGATGGAGCCGGTTATCCAGCGTATTATGTCTGACGAGGTAAACTATACGACAGTGATGGAGCCGGAAATATATGGTATATATACATATCTGTGGAAGTAAACTGTCCGATAGTGATGGTGGCGGTTATCTTGGGTATTATGTCTGTGGAGGTAATCTGCCCAATAGTGATGGAGCCTGTTATCCTGGGTTTTATATATCTGTGGAAGTAAACTGTCCGAAAGAGATATAGTCGGTTATCCTGGGTATTATGTGTCTGTGGAGGTAATCTACCCGACAGTGATGGAGCCTGTTATCCAGTGTATTATATCTGTAGAGGTAAACTATGCGACAGGGATGGAACCTGTTATCCTGGGTATTACATATATGTTGAAGTAAACTGTCAGACAGGGATGGAGCCGGTTATCCAGGGTATTATGTCTGTGGAGGTAATATGCCCGACAGGGATGGAGCCGGTTATCCTGGGTATTATATCTGTGGCGGTAATATGCCCGAAAGGGATTGAGCCGGTTATCCAGTGTATTATATCTGTAGAGGTAAACTATGCGACAGTGATGGAACCTGTTATCCAGGGTATTACATATATGTTGAAGTAAACTGTCAGACAGGGATGGAGCCGGTTATCAAGGGTATTATGTCTGTGGAGGTAATATGCCCGACAGGGATGGAGCCTGTGATCCTGGGTATTATATCTGTGGATGTAATATGCCCGACAGTGATGTGGCCGGTTATCCTGGGTATTATATCTGTGGAGGTAATCTGCCCGACAGAGATGGAGCCGGTTATATAGGGTATTATGTCTGTGGAGGTAATCTGCCCGACAGTGATGGAGCCGGTTATCCAGGGTGTTATATCTGTGGAGGTAATATGCCCGACAGGGATGGAGCCGGTTATCCAGGGTATTTTATCTGTGGAGGTAATCTGCCCGACAGGGATGGAGCCGGTTATCCAGGGTATTACATATATGTTGAAGTAAACTGTCAGACAGGGATGGAGCCGGTTATATAGGGTATTATGTCTGTGGAAGTAATCTGCCCGACAGGGATGGAGCCGGTTATATAGGGTATTATGTCTGTGGAGGTAATCTGCCCGACAGGGATGGAGCCGGTTATCCTGGGTATTATATCTGTGGCGGTAATATGCCCGACAGGGATGGAGCCGGTTATCCTGGGTATTTTATCTGTGGAGGTAATGTGTCCGACAGTGATGGAACCGGTTATGCAGTGTATTATATATCTGTGGTGGTAATATGCCCGACAGGGATGGAGCCTGTTTTCATGGGTATTATATCTGTGGAGGTAAACTATCTGACAGTGATGGAGCCGGTTATCCAGAGTATTATGTCTGTGGAGGTAATCTGCCCGACAGGGATGGAGCCGGTTATCCAGTGTATTATATCTGTAGAGGTAAACTATGCGACAGTGATGGAACCTGTTATCCAGGGTATTACATATATGTTGAAGTAAACTGTCAGACAGGGATGGAGCCGGTTATCAAGGGTATTATGTCTGTGGAGGTAATATACCCGACAGGGATGGAGCCAGTTATCCTGGGTATTATATCTGTGGATGTAATATGCCCGACAGTGATGTGGCCGGTTATCCTGGGTATTATATCTGTGGAGGTAATATGCTCGACAGGGATGGAGCCGGTTATCCTGGGTGTTATATCTGTGGAGGTAATCTGCCCGACAGTGATGGAGCCGGTTATCCAGGGTGTTATATCTGTGGAGGTAATATGCCCGACAGTGATGGAGCCGGTTATCCTGGGTATTTTATCTGTGGAGGTAATCTGCCCGACAGGGATGGAGCCGGTTATCCAGGGTATTATATCTGTGGAGGTAATATGCCCGACAGTGATGGAGCCGGTTATCCTGGGTATTTTATCTGTGGAGGTAATCTGCCCGACAGGGATGGAGCCGGTTATCCAGTGTATTATATCTGTAGAGGTAAACTATGCGACAGTGATGGAGCCTGTTATCCTGGGTATTACATATATGTTGAAGTAAACTGTCAGACAGGGATGGAGCCGGTTATATAGGGTATTATGTCTGTGGAGGTAATCTGCCCGACAGGGATGGAGCCGGTTATCCTGGGTATTATATCTGTGGCGGTAATATGCCCGACAGGGATGGAGCCGGTTATCCTGGGTATTTTATCTGTGGAGGTAATGTGTCCGACAGTGATGGAACCGGTTATGCAGTGTATTATATATCTGTGGTGGTAATATGCCCGACAGGGATGGAGCCTGTTTTCATGGGTATTATATCTGTGGAGGTAAACTATCTGACAGTGATGGAGCCGGTTATCCAGAGTATTATGTCTGTGGAGGTAATATGCCCGATAGTGATGGAGCCGGTTATCCAGTGTATTATATCAGTGTAGGTTATCTGCCCGATAGTGATGGAGCCGGTTATCCTGGGTATTATGTCTGTGGAGGTAATATGCCCGACAGGGATGTAGCCTGTGATCCTGGGTATTATATCTGTGGAGGTAATATGCCCGACAGTGATGGAGCCGGTTATCCGGGGTATTATATCTGTGGAGGTAATCTGCCCGACAGAGATGGAGCCGGTTATATAGGGTATTATGTCTGTGGAGGTAATCTGCCCGACAGTGATGGAGCCGGTTATCCTGGGTATTATATCTGTGGAGGTAATCTGCCGGACAGTGATGGAGCCGGTTATCCAGGGTGTTATATATCTGTGGAGGTAATATGCCCGATGGTGATGGAGCCGGTTATCCAGGGTATTATATATCTGTGGAGGTAATATGCCCGACCTTGATGGAGCTGGTTATCCAGGGTATTATATATCTGTTGAGGTAATATGCCCGATAGTGATGGAGCCGGTTATCCAGGGTATTATATATCTGTGAAGGTAATATGCCCGACAGTGATGGAGCCGGTTATATAGGGTATTATATATCTGTGGTAATATGCCCGTAGTGATATGCCCGATAGTGGATGGAGCCGGTTATCCAGGGTATTATATATCTGTGGAGGTAATATGCCCGACAGTGATGGAGCCGGTTATCCAGGGTATTATATATCTGTGGAGGTAATATGCCCGACAGTGATGGAGCCGGTTATCCTGGGGGGTATTATATCTCTGTGGAGGTAATATGCCTGACAGTGATGGAGCCGGTTATCCAGGGTATTATATATCTGGGAGGTAATATGCCCGGTTGATGGAGCCGGTTATCCAGGGTGTTATATATCTGTTGAGGTAATATGCCCGACAGTGATGGAGCCGGTTATCCAGGGTATTATATATCTGTGGAGGTAATATGCCCGACAGTGATGGAGCCGGTTATCCAGGGTATTATATATCTGTGGAGGTAATATGCCCGACAGTGATGGAGCCGGTTATCCAGGGTATTATATATCTGTGGAGGTAATATGCCCGACAGTGATGGAGCCGGTTATTCAAGGTATTATGTCTGTGGAAGTAATGTGCCCGACAGTGATGGAGCCGGTTATCCAGGGTGTTATATAACTGTGGAAATAATGTGCCCGACAGTGATAGAGCCTGTTATCCAGGGTGTTATATCCTGTGGAGGTAATATACCGATCTGTGGAGGTATTATATATGCCCGACAGTGATGGAGCCGGTTATCCAGGGTATTATATATCTGTGGAGGTAATATGCCCGACAGTGATGGAGCCGGTTATTCAGGGTATTATGTCTGTGGAAGTAATGTGCCCGACAGTGATGGAGCCGGTTATCCAGGGTGTTATATAACTGTGGAAATAATGTGCCCGACAGTGATGGAGCCTGTTATCCAGGGTGTTATATATCTGTGGAGGTAATATGCCCGATAGTGATGGAGCCGTTTATCCAGGGTATTATATATCTGTGGAGGTAATCTGCCCGACAGTGATGGAGCCGGTTATCCAGAGTGTTATATATCTGTGGGGGTAATATGCCCGACAGTGATGGAGCCGGTTATCCAGGGTATTATATATCTGTGGAGGTAATATGCCCGACAGTGATGGAGCCTGTTATCCAGGGTATTATATATCTGTGGAGGTAATATGCCCGACAGTGATGGAGCCGGTTATCCAGGGTATTATATGTATATCTGTGGAGGTAATATGCCTGACAGTGATGGAGCCGGTTATCCTGGGTATTATGTCTGTCTTGTATGCTAGCAGTTGCAGCTTGTACAGATTCACTAGGTCCAACACTATAGAAATAGCTTGCAGATAATTCCTGTCACTGGCGAGAATAATGTGAGATGTTAATATGGTACTTATACACCGGTCAAAAACTGCAGGGGTAACTTGTCACAGGATAGTTATCATAGAGGTGGTGCGATATGATATACGGGCTCTTGGTAGTACACCTCTGAAGTCAGTTTTCTGTTAAATGGAGCACAGATGAACATTTTGGGGTGATGAGGGTCAGTGTTCTGGACACGAGGAGTACATCCATACTGATAAAGTGCTAATACACGCAGTTTACAGCGACGTCACATGACTTCAAAAACAACTGCACGTTGCAGTTCGAACCTTAGTGGTTGAGGTTTGACAGTGGTCCCAAAGGAGTTGTTCGGATTGACCAATATTTCCTTGTATCCGGAGGGTAAAGTCTCCTTGTGTACATGCATTCCGACCAGAGATCGACTGAAAAGTGGGGTATCTGGATTAACGGGGTTGGTACTGTCGAACTTTCTCTGTTTCAGATGGTCTTCACAGTGATCGTCATGACAGATGGATTTTCACTGCATATACTGTGGATCTAAGTTGACATCACAACTAAAATATAACACGTTCATTCCGACCTGTTTCAACGACCACCATCACATTCCTGATTCAGTGACAGGGATTTCTGACATTTGCGTGCTTCCATTAGAAACTTCCGTGTATGTTACCCGGCGACATCTAAACAGCTTTAGAAATTCTTCTCGAAACTTTCTCCCGGACAAGAAGAAAAGGTAGAAATTTATGGCATGGTTTGTGTCTGCCAATTGGATAGTGATACTGTCAAAGAATTCTTTCCTTGCCAAACACATGAAGTCTCTCTCATCAGAACACGTGTTGTTGTGGAGGATGACGCACACGCATCGTGGGATGGTGAGGATGACGAACGCGACAGCGACGATGACGAGCATGATGGTGATCTGTCGTTCCTTCCGCTGGGCCTCTATTTGGGCAGGCTCATCCACCGAGATACGACGTCTTTGTCTGGAATATCTCCTCAATAACACAATGATGAGGATGTTGAAGATGATGACCGAGGTTGCGGGGAGGAAGGAATAGATGGTAGCGCTTGTGAAGTACCAGAAGGGGTAAAGGTACTCGTGAAACGCCACCTTCACTGTGCACGTATAGCTTTCATAATGGGTGACTGTTGCGAAGATGTGACTGTGGACGAGACCCAGGAAGAGGAACACGCCCACCATGATCCCAACCGCCTTCTTCAACGACCAGATCACTCTCACCTTTATGGGGAAAGCAACAGCCGTGAACCTTTCAGCGGAAATTATTATCAGAATCCAGTTTGCAAATGCTGAACATGTTAAACCGAAAAAATACAAAAACTGGCATCCTGTTTCGTCGATGAGCAACTTCTTCTGTCGAGATTGGTTTTCAATAATCTTTAAAATGATGGTCAAATTGTCCACAATGGACAACACTGCCACGTAGAGAAAGGACGTGGCCAGTCTTTGTTTGGACATGCTGATGATCACTATCACGCTGAGAACATTCCCAGGAAACCCAACTGCAAAGATGACCCAAATGTAGATTGTGTTGAGGAAGTTAGTTACTACATTCAGTGTATAGAATTCAGGTGGATACATAGGCGTGGTAACAGCGGGAGACAAGGTGGAGTTACCATACACGCCTTTCACAAGGGCCTGCAGTGTTGTGTTCGCCATGGCAATCAGTAGGGTTCCTTCTGAAACACAATAGCAGACACTGTAAGCTGACATAATATGTGATAAACAATAGGTCAGATATAAACATGGCTACTTGATATTACACCAGTGAGAATAAAGCATTCTTCAGAGTCATGTCAGATCTGTCCTGTATCTCGTGCCTCAAGCATAATCAGTCATGTCAGATCTGTCTTGTATCTCATGCCTCAAGCATAATCAGTCATGTCAGATCTGTCCTGTATCTCGTGCCTCAAGCATAATCATCCATGTCAGATCTGTCCTGTATCTCATGCCTCAAGCATAATCAGTCATGTCAGATCTGTCCTGTATCTCGTGCCTCAAGCATTCTTCAGAGACATGTCAGATCTGTCCTGTATCTCGTGCCTCAAGCATAATCATTCATGTAAGATCTGTCCTGTATTTCATGCCTCAAGCATAATCAGTCATGTCAGATCTGTCCTGTATCTCGTGCCTCAAGCATTCTTCAGTCATGTCACATCTGTCCTGTATCTCGTGCCTCAAGCATTCTTCAGTCATGTCAGATCTGTCCTGTATCTCGTGCCTCAAGCATAATCACTCATGTCAGATCTGTTCTGTATCTCGTGCCTCAAGCATTCGTCAGAGACATGTCAGATCTGTCCTGTATCTCATGCCTCAAGCATAATCAGTCATGTCAGATCTGTCCTGTATCTCGTGCCTCAAGCATTCTTCAGTCGTGTCAGATCTGTCCTGTATCTCGTGCCTCAAGCATTCTTCAGAGTAATGTCAGATCTGTCCTGTATCTCATGCCTCAAGCATAATCAGTCATGTCACATCTGTCCTGTGCCTCAAGCATTCTTCAGTGATGTCAGATCTGTCCTGTATCTCGTGCCTCAAGCATAATCAGTCATGTCAGATCTGTCCTGTATCTCGTGCCTCAAGCATTCTTCAGAGTCATGTCAGATCTGTCCTGTAGCTCGTGCCTCAAGCATAATCAGTCATGTCAGATCTGTCCTGTATCTCGTGCCTCAAGCATTCTTCAGAGTCATGTCAGATCTGTCCTGTATCTCGTGCCTCAAGCATTCTCCAGAGTCATGTCAGATCTGTCCTGTATCTCATGCCTCAAGCATAATCAGTCATGTCAGATCTGTCCTGTATCTCGTGCCTCAAGCATAATCAGTCATGTCAGATCTGTCCTGTATCTCGTGCCTCAAGCATAATCAGTCATGTCAGATCTGTCCTGTATCTCGTGCCTCAAGCATAATCAGTCATGTCAGATCTGTCCTGTATCTCGTGCCTCAAGCATAATCAGTCATGTCAGATCTGTCCTGTATCTCGTGCCTCAAGCATAATCAGTCATGTCAGATCTGCCCTGTATCTCGTGCCTCAAGCATAATCAGTCATGTCAGATCTGTCCTGTATCTTGTGCCTCAAGCATTCTTCAGAGTCATGTCAGATCTGTCATGTATGTCATGAGTCAGCTTCTGACTGAAATCATCGCTCAGTGTGGTGCTGACTATGCCGACTATTTATAATGTGTTTGTAATGCTTCAAAAACAGATGAACTGTACAAGCTGATGCCTGACACCAGGAGATACAGCTTGGAGTGGTTTGCTGTGTTATAGCCCGAAATGTTGTGTTCCTGATGATACAGCTGACGTTATAACTGTTCACCCTGACGTGCACCACTTGTAAATGCCTTTTCAAAACAGTCTGAGAGGACAAAATATATATTCTCCATGAATTACCTCTGAATAGTTTCTTAAAGAAAACCATTTGCACAATAACAGTAAATCTTCAGGAACCGTAGAATCCAACCCGACAAGCACATAGGGATGATACCTGGTGACAAGTGAAAGGTGAGATGGATGCTGTCCTACCCGACTGCCACCGACCACTGCCGCCGACCACTGCCACAGACCACTGCCACCGACCACTGCCACCGACCACTGGCACAGACCACTTCCACCGACCACTGCCAACGACCACTGCCGCCGACCACTGCCACAGACCACTGCCACCGACCACTGCCGCCGACCTTCCACCAACACACGCAAAGGAAGATCAAATGTTCACGTGACGATCAAATAGTACAAAGAAATGCGTGCAACGTGTTCTACACATATCTACCATTAAAGTACTGAAAACTTTATTGAGCCTTGAATTTTGTAACTTCGATCAAACGGCTCTGAGCAAATGTCATATAACAGTCTTCTAAATGTTTGTGGAAAGAGAATGTTGTAACCTCCATAGTCACCAGGTGCTGAGGATGCTGGTATAGTGCTCGACATAAAGGTTATACTACACTAAATGAGAATCGCTTGCTCACTGAGCGAGAACCGTATGTAAACAAATGAAGAGATAGAGACATGTGACAGCTGTGATTGGATGAAATAGTGTAAGATGTTTATGTTTTTTAAAAGCATATCCAACCAGTAATTAAAACTGACCACAATTTTAAGTATTCAGTGCTGTCATTTTAATCACCATGACTTATGCTTATTGTGTGTACAGATATTTTCCAGTAGGTGACATTTGGTGCGGAACTGGGGTTGATGTGTTCCGCTTCCTGTCCTCGCAATACGACCCGGACAAGTTGGCCTGATATTGTGTTTTATTGTAGTTTAAAGGCCAGAGTGTACCCATGTGTACATGGAATGGCTGTTGATAGCTTGTCTATTTTTAAAAAAATTATAAGGTTACTATGGAAGTCTATGGGAAAACATTTGGTGGTGTGTAACCTAAAGGTAACCCTGACTGTTGGTGGTGTGTAACCTAAAGGTAACCCTGACTGTTGGTGGTGTGTAACCTAAAGGTAACCCTGACTGTTGGTGGTGTGTAACCTAAAGGTAACCCTGACTGTTGGTGGTGTGTAACCTAAAGGTAACCCTGACTGTTGGTGGTGTGTAACCTAAAGGTAACCCTGACTGTTGGTGGTGTGTAACCTAAAGGTAACCCTGACTGTTGGTGGTGTGTAACCTAAAGGTAACCCTGACTGTTGGTGGTGTGTAACCTAAAGGTAACCCTGACTGTTGGTGGTGTGTAACCTAAAGGTAGCCCTGACTGTTGGTGGTGTGTAACCTAAAGGTAGCCCTGACTGTTGGTGGTGTGTAACCTAAAGGTAACCCTGACTGTTGGTGGTGTGTAACCTAAAGGTAACCCTGACTGTTGGTGGTGTGTAACCTAAAGGTAACCCAGACTGTTGGTGGTGTGTAACCTAAAGGTAACCCAGACTGTTGGTGGTGTGTAACCTAAAGGTAACCCTGACTGTTGGTGGTGTGTAACCTAAAGGTAACCCTGACTGTTGGTGGTGTGTAACCTAAAGGTAACCCTGACTGTTGGTGGTGTGTAACCTAAAGGTAAAGGTAACCCTGACTGTTGGTGGTGTAACCTAAAGGTAACCCTGACTGTTGGTGGTGTGTAACCTAAAGGTAACCCTGACTGTTGGTGGTGTGTAACCTAAAGGTAACCCTGACTGTTGGTGGTGTGTAACCTAAAGGTAACCCTGACTGTTGGTGGTGTGTAACCTAAAGGTAACCCTGACTGTTGGTGGTGTGTAACCTAAAGGTAACCCTGACTGTTGGTGGTGTGTAACCTAAAGGTAACCCTGACTGTTGGTGGTGTGTAACCTAAAGGTAACCCTGACTGTTGGTGGTGTAACCTAAAGGTAACCCTGACTGTTGGTGGTGTGTAACCTAAAGGTAACCCTGACTGTTGGTGGTGTGTAACCTAAAGGTAACCCCTGACTGTTGGTGGTGTGTAACCTAAAGGTAACCCTGACTGTTGGTGGTGTGTAACCTAAAGGTAACCCTGACTGTTGGTGGTGTGTAACCTAAAGGTAACCCTGACTGTTGGTGGTGTGTAACCTAAAGGTAACCCTGACTGTTGGTGGTGTGTAACCTAAAGGTAACCCTGACTGTTGGTGGTGTGTAACCCTAAAGGTAACCCTGACTGTTGGTGGTGTGTAACCTAAAGGTAACCCTGACTGTTGGTGGTGTGTAAAGGTAACCCTGACTGTTGGTGGTGTGTAACCTAAAGGTAACCCTGACTGTTGGTGGTGTGTAACCTAAAGGTAACCCTGACTGTTGGTGGTGTGTAACCCTGACTGTTGGTGGTGTGTAACCTAAAGGTAACCCTGACTGTTGGTGGTGTGTAACCTAAAGGTAACCCTGACTGTTGGTGGTGTGTAACCCTAAAGGTAACCCTGACTGTTGGTGGTGTGTAACCTAAAGGTAACCCTGACTGTTGGTGGTGTGTAACCTAAAGGTAACCCTGACTGTTGGTGGTGTGTAACCTAAAGGTAACCCTGACTGTTGGTGGTGTGTAACCTAAAGGTAACCCTGACTGTTGGTGGTGTGTAACCTAAAGGTAACCCTGACTGTTGGTGGTGTGTAACCTAAAGGTAACCCTGACTGTTGGTGGTGTGTAACCTAAAGGTAACCCTGACTGTTGGTGGTGTGTAACCTAAAGGTAACCCTGACTGTTGGTGGTGTGTAACCTAAAGGTAACCCTGACTGTTGGTGGTGTGTAACCTAAAGGTAACCCTGACTGTTGGTGGTGTGTAACCTAAAGGTAACCCTGACTGTTGGTGGTGTGTAACCTAAAGGTAACCCTGACTGTTGGTGGTGTGTAACCTAAAGGTAACCCTGACTGTTGGTGGTGTGTAACCTAAAGGTAAAGGTAACCCTGACTGTTGGTGGTGTGTAACCTAAAGGTAACCCTGACTGTTGGTGGTGTGTAACCTAAAGGTAACCCTGACTGTTGGTGGTGTGTAACCTAAAGGTAACCCAGACTGTTGGAAGGTTTACGTCTCCTCACATTGCCAGAACCTCCTGTGGAGAAGTCGTTGTCACTCTCAAACAGTATGTATATATGTAAACATGAAACAGACGAGGGTGTCTCACTTCCGTCCATTTTCCCCATCAGTATTTCCATTGTCCATTGTCCATTATTCCTAGTTTATATGGGCAACAGAGATGACGAGAATAGGAATTTTACCTTTATGTAAAACAATATCAAATGACCAATAACCAAGAAACTTAAGTT